AATCCGAATCTGAACGGAAAATTGTGAACGATTATGAAATGATTCGACCTCATTCACAGCTTCCGAAGCCGGAGGCGCCGCCGGGGGTTATTGGAAGGTCGCGATCCTTGCCGGAGAAATTCGATTCCCCGACGGATTCACCGGCGGCGACGATCGGGAAGTTTTTTCGGGAGAAGAGCAACAGCGTCTCGGTGGCGATTACGAAGCGCATATCGTCGCTCAGAAAGGACGAAGACGGCGGCGCCGCCGGCGGCGGAGGCGGCGTGAAGGAGTTCAATCTGGTGGGTTTGAAAGTGATTAAGGCTTTGAAGGGGGAGGGGAAGGAGCTGAAGGGGAGAATAAGCTTCTTCTCGCGGTCAAACTGCAGAGACAGCGGCGCCGTCCGGTCGTTCCTGCGGGGGAGGAATTTGAATTTCGTGGAGATCAACGTCGACGTGTACCCGGGGAGAGAGAAGGAGTTGAGAGAGAGGACCGGCGGAGTGGCCGTGCCGCAGATTTTCTTCAACGAGAAGCTGATCGGAGGACTGGTGGTGCTCAACTCGTTGCGGAACGGCGGGTTGCTGGACGCGAAGATGGAGGAGATTCTGGGGAGCAAGTGCCCCGAGGATGCGCCGGCGCCGCCGGTATACGGTTTCAACGACGCGGATGAGGTGGTGGAGGCGGCGGATGAGATGGCGGAGGTAGTTAGGGTTGTGGGGCAGAGGGTTCCGATACAGGACAGAATTATGAAGATGAAATTTGTGAAGAATTGCTTCTCCGGCGCCGAGCTTGTCGAAGCTCTCATACACCACTTTGATTGCGGACGTAAAAAGGTAATTTTATTTTTATTTTTTATAAAACTATTTATTTTTATTTAAGAAAATACAAATTGAATGAAAATATATTTTAATTTTTAAATTGAGTGGATTCTCTCTCTCTCTCTCTCTCATGTAGTTTAAGATGAAATCTCGAATTGCTAAAATTATTAACATAAAATTCCTGAAGTATGGAAATTACAAAAAACTCCCTCATGTTTGAGTACTTACAACTGCACACCTTGACTAGTAGGTAAATTTAATATCATAAGGGTGGAGGTGTAAGATAATACATAATTGATGACTGTCGTTAGTAAAAAAAATAGAATTCTTGTGGGCGAAATTTCTGTTAGTATATGGTTGAAATCTAGACCGTTGAAAACTGGTCGCCTAATTGGATAATAAATGAAATAGCTAAACTGTGATTCCTTTTAATTTAATTGTACAAATTAATAAACGAATAGTTGTACAAATTACTATTTAATAGAGAAATGTGCAGAACACTAAGTAATAATTAAGAGCAGAAGAAGATATTAATGATTGTTTTGGCCGAAACCAACTACTTTTAGCGGCTAGGCCAAATGATTCGTGCTACGTGCTTAAAATGACTGGTTTTTTTTTTTTTTTTCCCTCTAATTAATTTGTTAAAAAAATGGAAATGAGTGACGTAGTCAATTATTTATCGTCTTTCATTCGGGGGAAAGTTGGAATGGAATTTTCGATTTTCGCCGGTTTCAATTCTAGAGCAACTTTTTTCATTCTGATTTCTAAAATTCCGATTTCCGATAAATTTAATCATCAAATCTCAATTTCGTAAGTAGGTTAGGCATGTCAACTTTGTCAATTGGTTCAATTTACTAGTCACTAGAATTGAATTAGTCAACTTGGTTTGGCTGGTCTAATTCCTTATAGCCCTGTCGTTATAATTAACCGATAATTTTGGCAACAATTTAGTACATGTAGTCTGTAGAGGTCCCAATTCAAAATAATAATAATAATAATAATAATAAATAAATAAATAAATAATTGTAACTTGAGGCCCTTAATTTTGGGATTAGTTGACTTAGGTACTCAATTTTCTAGTGTTTTATTTTTCAAATGGTCCCTATTCAGAGTTGACAAGCAACATGTTTCTTTCGTAGTTTTTTTCTTACTCCATTTTGAGGTTGTTATCTTATGTATGAGTTATGACACTCGCTATACGTATTTCTTCGGATTTTTTTTTCGATTTAGATTCTGTTAGTTGCATAACATCTTGTATGTATTATATATTAACAACTCCAATAGGCCATCGAGATTGGGAAGAAGATGGCAAGAAAGCATTTCATTCATCACGTTTTCGGGTAAGAACACGACCTTCACATATTCCCCCGAAAAAAGAAAACTTTTTTTTGAACCACAGAATATGTAATGGTGTGTGTGTGTGTGTGTGTGTGTGCAGGGAAAATGAATTTGAGGATGGAAACCACTTCTACAGATTCCTCGAACACGAGCCGTACATACCCAAATGCCACAATTTCCGAGGAATGGTGAACGATCGTGAGCCTAAGTCTGCTGGTGCAGTGAGCCAGAGGCTCACCTGTATAATGTCAGCCATACTCGAGTCCTACGCTTCTGATGATAGAAGACATCTCGATTACGTTGGAATTAGTAATAGCGAAGAGTTCAGAAGGTAAATTTCTTGCTGCGATAAACAAATTTATATAAAGGTGCATACACGTTGAACTAAAATTCGAGAACTTCATCTGATCATATATATATATGCAGATATGTACATTTGGTGGAGGATCTGCAGAGAGTAAACCTGCTGACTCTATCCCATGACGAAAAGTTAGCATTCTTTTTGAATATTCACAATGCTATGGCGATTCATGCTGTGATTAGAATTGGTCATCCTGGAGGAATGATCGATCGCAGGCCCTTCTTCGCTGAATTCATGTATATAATCGGTGGCCACCCCTACTCTTTAAGCTCTATTAAAAACGGGATTCTCAGAGGCAACCGAAGACCTCCGTATGTGCTTATAAAGCCCTTCAGTAGCGGCGACAAGCGCCTGGAGGTGAATCACCACTCATCATTTCTTTCTTGTACCAAAAAAAAATATTAGAAAATCGAGGCATAATCTGTTTGCTTTTTGTTCAATTTCTGCAGTTGGCGTTTTCAAAAGTTAATGAATTAATTCATTTCGGGATTTGGAATGCAACGAGGGGGAGCCCGTCGATCAGATTCTTCAATCCGAAAGGAATTGAATCCGAATTGAGAAGTGCTGCAAGAGAGTACTTCCAAAGGGATGATGGTATGCAGGTGGATCTTGCCAAAAGGGCTGTTTGTCTCCCCAGAATCATCAAATGGTGAGTAGACGACTACCATCGAAATTTTACGGTTTTCCAAACTTTGGATTTACGAAAAATTATTATGTTTGTTACGCAGGTACAGTGCCGATTTTGGGCAAGAAAAAGAAATACTAAAGTGGATAATGAACTACTTGGATGCAAGTAAGGCAGGTCTTTTGACACATCTATTGAGTGATGGTGGTTCTATCAATATAATTTACCAGAATTATGACTGGTCTCTCAATTCTTCTTGATCATGCCTGCCTTTAGTGTTTAAAAGAATCTCAAGAGGTGATAGATATACTTACTATATATACATATATATTATGGTTGATGGAATTTTGTATATAATTATGGATTTTTTTTAATTGGCTATTTATAGTGGATAGATAGTCTTTGAGAAGAATCAAAGCATATCTATTGATTGATATCCATGGTGAACCAACCTACTATGGATCAAGATTTTGTAATACAAGTTTGTTGTGTTGGTTTCAAATGAATATTTCTACCTTAAAGAATTGTTTTATTTAAATTGATTTGCTTCGAGTAGGGATGGAAGCGATTTGGGATTTCAAAATTGTGTATGGAATTGGTTTGATAAACAATGGAGTCGAACTCGTACTAGCTTTAATTGAGCCGAACATGAATCGAGCTCGAGTAGCTTAATTTTTTGTAATATATTTTTAGGGTAAATTACGGTCAGCCCCCTGAGGTAAGGCCAAATTACGAAAAAAACCGTCTTATTTGGGTAATTACAACCAACCCCTCAACTATAAATTTTCTTACACATCCACCCGTGCAGTGTCGAATTCTACTTAATCTTCTAGATTTTGTGAAATGTTCTCTAGTTTGTACACACCACTATCTGATATTTACAAGTCAAAAGACGCATCTTATGATCTTCTTGTTTCAAAATGTGGAGCTCGAATGGACTAAAACGGGTACAAGCTGGAGATTATTTCACATAGTGAAGAAGATTCCACTAAATTTGACAACGTTAGGGTGCACGTATAAGAAGATTCATAGTTGAGGGAGGTGGTAGTAATCACCCAAACATGAAGGATTTTTTCGTAATTTGACTTTACCTCAGGGGTGGCCGTAATTTACCCTATATTTTTATTATTCTTTTTTCTAACCGAGCTGAACTTGCAACTTTCAAACAAAAAGTATGTTCAAGTTGGATTTCTTATGTTAACAAACTGAGTTCAAACAAACTTTTGTTAATGAACGATGTTGAAACTAGGAGTTTCAGCACTACCTTCAACGATTACTACTTGAAAAGAAGAAAAAAAAGTTTTCAAGTTAAAAGGTATTAGTAAAGATGTATAGTTGATTTTTTATTTTATACAAAACAAATATTTTCATTTTAATATATTTATATTTTGTTAATTAATATAAATAATTGAAGTGCAAAAAGATCAAACCTTGAGAATTGAAATGCAGGATAATTCACTAAACCATAGACGAATTCGAAATTGAGAATCCATTCGAATATTTCTACAAGTAACGATTAACAACACGGCGAGCATGATTAAATAAAATTTAATCCAGAAGCATACGCAGCTATGTTTTTTACATAAATTATGCCCATAGATATAGATAGAAACAATAAAAGGATGGACATAAATATTTTTGGCAGGAAATACAATAATTCTCCCATGCAAAAGATTATGCAGAATACCACAACTCTTGATGGTAAGTAACTCGTTTCACTCCCAAGTAACCGAAACCATTGAGTTAGCAAGGCCCGATTCCGCAAACGTCGAAGTGACATCATAATCCAAAGACCTTGAAGCACCTGGAATAGCTTGGGTTATGCGAAATGGCTTCGAATCTATTTCCTTCATCTCAGAATAGCAGAATGACCACAAAAGCTGCAGTATGATAAATAAGCCATGAAACTCGTTGAAGTTCGATGAATCGTTGTTATATCAATAGAGTAATAAAAATACGAGATATTTTCAGCATAACTTTATAATCTAAAGTTAAATCTATCTCCTACTTTGTCTCAAAAAGAATATACCATCCCCAGAGATGTAAACATCAAGACATATAAATCGCGTATATGTGTATATACCAGGGGCCACGTAGAATAACATGTCTAATGGTCATCTTTTCAGCATTCTGATCATTAACTAATACAAATCTAATTGAATAACTTCATTATCGATCCTGACACATCAAGAAAAGTTCCTCGTATAACGATGCACCAAAGGAAAAGATCATTCATGAAAAAAGAATAGATAAAATTGATATAACAAAAAAATTTCCGGTATAAAATTGATATCATACAAAAACAAAAGATCATAAACATTTTTACCTGAACTGGATCAGTGCGAAGAAAGTTCCTCTGCACTCGGCGCCCATCAGGGAGACGGACTCCAACTCTGCAAAGTAGGCTTCTGTCACCTTTCGGTTCTTCAGGCAAAGGTAAATAAGAAGGCTTCTTCTCTTTCTCCTCAGCATTATTTGCTTCAGTCACTTCTTTCGAGTCACCCTCGTCGATTTCTTTAGTGTCCACCATAGAGGCTGCCAGTGCTCGCTGCAATTCTTCCTCTTCATCTTCATCGTGATTTTCAGCTGCAGCTGCTGTAGCAATTTTTTTTTTGGTGATTATCATTCTTTGAGCCATTTATTTAATATGCAATAGACTTTTCTTATATGCATTACAGTTCAGTTTCAAAACGATGTCTAATAAATTCAACCACTTCTATCTTGTTGAAGCATCAAAAGTAACATCATGCAGATGCTGAATACTACTACAATACCAGGATTTAAAATACCAAGAAAACCGAAAAATGAACCAAAAAAAAAACTAGCATACATTGAATATGATGAACTGGTGCTTCAGTATGTACTCTCGGACGTTTATGAGATAGACTGACATGATGATCCGAGGGGCTGCCATCCATGAATGGCACCAGATCCTACCACAAGAAGAATAAAGGTAAATTAAAACCCAAGTCAGGAACATAGTTAGAAAATGAAAACAACTTACATAAATAAAAGCCTGAAAGTCCTCCAAGGGTATATCTGTATTTTTGGTTTTCCCGAAAAGAATAAAAGAAGAAAAGTATGTTTGCGGTGGGTGTTTGTGTGGCCAAAAAGTATTAGTTCATTTACCTCAAGCAAATTTTCCGGTTGAACCATTCCACGCCAAGCATGCAACTTCTGGCCCGTTATAGGATCAATCAAGAGAATGACAGGGATGGAATCTAGTTTGTAGTAAGTACAAACCTTGCTGCCCTCTTCTGTATCATCGTATACCTAAAGCACACAGAACGATACACAGATCAACATGGCATGAAACTCATGTAACAACTAACAAGTAAAATGAATAACAATATTTCAAGGGAAAAAAGATAGAATAACTCGTTGCCTAAGATATTCAAGAAAATTCACCAAACATTTAGATCAGTTAGAATACATAGTTTTTCAAACCTACCAACTTCTCTCCTACAGAAATTTCAATTGATTCATTTTAAGCTTTAAGCTAAGGAACGTGTACGTTTAATTCATTAGTTAAACATTTGCCTTTCGTTTTTTTCTTTACATGCGCAGGTAATATAGCTTTCACAACCTTTTATCTGTTGTTTCAGTTTCCCTCGTTTCCTTAATATGAAGAAAACCAGCCAACAAACAGCAATAAGAGCATACATTAAGGTCACGCATTCCATAAAATAAGCAAGCTGTCTTAGGAAGTATAGAAGCCTCTCTTAATCTTCACCTCACTCAAAATATAGTCCTTTCTGAAACAATGGACGCAATAAATGCCTGTCAACCATCTAATATGGTGTAACCGTGCAAAATTTTAAGGCCACTTATGTTATGGAATACCACTCATGTAATATAAATTTTCCATTAATGCAATTTATTGTGCCCAAATTCACTTCCAAGTAGCATAAAATATCAATTATGGATTTAAATAACAAAATGGAAATTTCATTTTGCTCTTTTGACAAAATCGGACAGAATACGGCAATTTAGTTAGACAAGTTGAAAAATGAAATGGCAGTATAATCACCCCTAGCGTTTTGAAAATTCTTATAATGTGAAAACGCAAAAATAAAAACTATATGATGGAAAAACAAGCAATCTATTACGTAATAATAAAAATTTCTAACTCAAACCCACAAGAGCAACAGAATAATACAAACCTGCCAGAAGATGAAGTTGGTTTTGATGGTTTGAGCAACAGCTTCATTTGCCCAGGTGTCACGGTTTAGCTTCAAAGCAACAAATACAATTTAGAAGCATGCCATGATATGCGTCAAGTTAAATTTGAGTAAACTAAAACATATGAGAGCGAGAGATGGGGAAGTTTTCCAACTCTATTGTCAGAAAGAGAAAAGGGTTGTTTTAGGGCATAATGATACCAATGTGATACATCATCTAACATTGCACGAATTAAAACCTAAATCCAGAATTACCAGCTTCTGTTATTTCCTAAACTTTGGACCCTAAACCCTATAGCGAAAAATCATGAGAATACAGGAGAATCCATAACGCTAGATCTACTATAGCAAGTCTGAAGAATCAATGTGAAGCGTCTAAAAGACAAGTAAAACAATGGCTATCATGTCAGCAACGATTTGAAAAATAACAAATTATGTCCATCAAAAGGACTGCACAAACAGCAACCAATCTTGATTAAGAAACTAAGAAGTCCCCGATTTTCATCCATTGCATCAACAAACTGGACATCAACATGCCGTATTTTTTTTTCTGAACCATCAATCCAACCAGGTAGTCTATGTCGATTTATTTCCCCAAATGAAGGATTTCACCACTTCACTTCAGTATACTAAACAGACTGCCACAATCCGAGGCTATCGATGTTGCGATGTTTCTCATCTGTTTTTGTGAGTCATTAAGTCAGATTTCTATTTTGTTTTAAACGGTTACTTGGGATATGCAATGCATTCTTCACGACCTAGGAACGCAATCTCGACAATTTACAGTAAGATATATGAGGGGCTTAAGAGACAAGCAAGATCAGGTTTTTCAGCCATTCTTGGTTTCAAATTTTTATCATTTATAACTCCATGGCACTAAACTGCCTTTACCTAATGTATATATTTTATTTTATTTTATTTTATTCTAAGGAAACTACATTTCTCTTTTTTGCACCATGAGTGTGTGTGAGAAAGAGAGACAGACAGATATAGAGGCAGAGATCAAAAAACAAGTACCATGTGCGAGCTAAATTCCTTGGTGGACTGCATGTTTACAAGGAGCCACTTGTTCTGCATCCTTGCATTATCTTTAGCCTGTAATTTAAAGAAGAAAAAAGAACTTGATATTAAAATTAACCTGTGGCATGTTATGGAAATAAACTATAAATATGCATTACCCAGCAATAAAACTAAAGTAAATTGTCAGGCATAATGAAAAAACAAAAGCACATTGATAACTATTAAGAATTGGAAGAAAAGGACTGTGTTGGCAACTAACTTATCAAGTTAACTTAGCACTTGCTCCTGCCAAGTAAAAGTCAAAAAAATGTATCACAAACATCTATACCATTGCCAAATAAATCACAGTAGTTGAAGAAGAGAACAAAACAAAGTTTTTTGCATGAAGTTGAAGCTGATATCATTATTGTGTGAAAGAGATACAACTTAAGGCACATCATAGCTTCCTTGCGATGCCAGATAAGAAAATTAGAGGCGCCTATATTATATTATATGTGAAATTTCTAAACATAAATAGGTACTTACCTTTTCAAAAGGCCCCTGGAACATCAGAGCAAATGGAGGACGATACAAAGATGCAAGATTATCCTGAGTTTTATCGACAACGGAAGAAGATGAACCTGCTTCTATTTCCCAGACTCCAGGATGTTTCATTTCCTCATCAAAATTACGGAATGGAACAACAGAATGAGTTGCATGTGGTGAATCTCCCACTCTTTGAACCCTACTGGAAATGGACAAACATGATTTATAAGTCATTTTTATGAGAATACGCAAAAGAAGACAAAATTCAGCCTCTGCATTCACCAGATTTTATCAGAGCTAATTCAGAAGAAAAAAAAATGAAGATAACACTGATAGGCAATTCGTGAAATTGGCTGATTCCAAGGGCAAACAACTCGCATTCTATTATATAACCAGTCCTTTGTTTTTTTTCTTGAAAAGCCTAATTTATACTAAATTATCTGTCTTAATTAGCATTGTATATATATTAATCTGGAAATGAAGAGTTTATCTTGATTTAGTTGTCCTTAAGAGCATTTGGGAATAACTAGCATCAGCTTTGAGCTTGACAAATAACTAATCGACAAAAGCTTGAGAGTGGAGCGCGAGCGGGAGACTGGGAGACTCATGTGTTAAAAATATTTATGAGTGATGGCATCACTAGAGCAACAAGATTTTATTTTCTTACTCATCTAAGTTATATTACCTCATTACACCATTCTTGCAATTTTATATGAATGAGAAACCTTTTCCACAAATGGTAACCAAAAATGAAGAAAGAAGTAACAAAAGTTAGAAATTAGTCCCTAGTTCAAGTCTCAGATTTTGGGTCTTATCGTGTAGAATGTAGCAGAGAAAAACAGTAATGCACATAACTCTTAAATCCTAAACAATGCACAGAATGTTTAGGATGAGTGGTAAAACACCGTAAAAGGTTCAACCATTGGGGGACTCGCCCACGACTGTACATTAGTTAAAGAGCCGTAACTAATATTAATTATACTAGCCCAAAATAATGATACTTTGGCCCATAAAATTAGTACAGAGTACAAAAGCTTTCTTAGTAAAAACTTATGAGTGGAAATTCTTAAATGTACTTTTGTCAAAAAAAGAATTGGTCTTCCACATATTTAACTTAATGTCCCATCTGGAACGCCCCTCATAGCCAAGTACAGTTGGGAAATCTCAACTTGCTTTTCTTGTAAATTGCAATGACCCAGTAACATGGTAAACGTATAGCCACGGAGAAAAAATTTGATAATAACAGATATGGAGGATCAAAATAGATCAAAAGATATGTATAAGAGCACAACATCAAAGGTACACAAACTTTCAAGTCAAACTTAAGAAAAAGACAGAACAGAGAAACAGAAATGACTAAACCTGGATTTGTTCATGATCAATCACAGTCTACATGAAATAAACTAGCTTAATTTCTCATCAATATCTGAGAAGAAGCACTGTAAATGCGATTGACATGTGTGTCATGAACAAGAGAGGAAGTAGTAGTGTACCCGTAGAGCATTGAGCTATCATAAAGAACATCCCTTCTCACAGGTAAAGGTGGTCGTACATCACTTCCATCATTTATTCTCACATCTCTATCCATCAATTCCTTTCCCAGCTCACTACATTCAAAGATAAGCAAATTGAAAAAATACTATAAAACTAGGGAACAGAGCACCACATATTTATGTTTCTCCACATAACATGCCTCATATTTGATTCATCGAGGGGCAGCTCGTTTTCTGCTGGTGTAGAATATACAGATTCTGTAGCTAACCCACCTTCATTTCCTACATAAAAAAGTTGAATAGCTTCCTCAAGCCTCCATCCAGTGGCCTGCATTATGTGAATGTTTGTGCAACATTTCATAAATAAGGAAGCTCTCAATATATGACAATAATATACATTCAAATGATACTCATATTGCACTATAAATAATGATGGGAAGGAAAAAATGACACCCTTAGCAACAAAAAATGTAAAGGAAAGACCCTCATAAGCTATTCTTTTTTTAATATCAAGGTCCAATCACAGCAGCATTAACAACTGCAATTCAAGCAATGGTCACGATCACAGTGTTAACCTTTTCAATATGACCAATGGTTATTTCTAAAAAAATTGGCCTTAACTGGCCATTATACAACACACACACCCAAAGGGATACGAATCCCCGACCTTTTCCTATATCCCTGGTGGTTTCAATATGAGCAATGGTAACACAACAGGATAATCAAATGCCATGGGTTCACCAAATCCTGTACAGCTAGGAGTTTCTGGAAAACACAGCTAATAATTCCAACACCGTAAATCCTAAATGCCATGAGATGTCACCAAAATTAACCCATGATTTATTCCGACTAGTGCCATTAAAATTTGTAGTTTCTCAGAGGTATATTATTAAGTTAAAAAAAATTATGTGCACATGATGCAGTAATTTGCTCAATCCCTCCCCAAAGGCAATAGAGGATGCAGCAGTGTTCTTCTCTTACCAATTTGATATTCTTTTGTAAGGATTTTTTTCCTATTTATACTTTCCTTGCTCATCTTCTTGTATTTCTTCCCATCCAATTTTACACTATAATATCTTATAGTTATTCTATTTTCAGCAGAAACAATCCATGTTCTAATGTTTCTCCCTCCAATTATAGCTCATCCAACAAATCTCAAATTATGTACCACCATCGAGACCCGAATATTGAAATCCTACACACTTGGCATTGGAATACCACCAAAATTGAGTTCACCAGCTGGATTTAGCATGACTGAAAGCCTTAACAGGGTGTTACATAAAACTTTCCTTACTCATTGCAGCTAGAACTAGCGGTTATTGGCTACAGGAAATTACCTTAACACAAACTGTGTTAATAAATTACAAAAAGCAACTAGTGACTCCAATTTATCCCATATCCATGTTCATATGGTGTCATTTATTTAAACCACAATGCATCACTTTACATTAACTTGCATACTACGATTTCCCAAGGGAAAGACTCACTCTATTTGAAATGAGTAACAAGCTGAGTAAGTGGTTGAAATTCAACAGTTCTACCAGTAAGGAAGGAGGAAGATAGAATTTGGCACAGAAAAATGATTTTTTGGCTTGTTCCCATATTCTTACAATCATATTCTTACAATCAAATCTTTCAACGTGTTGATTTTTAGTTGAAACTAGATGAAAGAGGAAAAGACGAGGTTGCCTCTATCATAATTAGAGATGTGATAATTTATAGCTTGAGATGCAATGGAATTGACTCCGAAGTTCAGACAAGAAAATAAGTACACCAGTGTGAAAGCTGGAAACTCTGACACCCAACAACAACCACAGACATTTACTTTGTTAATTGATTTTCAGATAATCACGTATAAGATAAACAACAATCTCACGGTGTCGTTGTTGTCGTTGGTGTCTGAATCAACATTTACATGAACCGGTCATTAATCGATTGGGAAAAGCATTAAAATTGGTAAACGGAAACAACAATCTCAGTGATCCACCATGAGAGCACAATATAATCGCATAACGAACTACCAAAGATCACAGTTATCACACACACAATACATCAGTTCCAAAAAACACCTCGATTCCAATTACCGAGCACACAAGACACCGAACCCCCATCCTGCCACAACTCAACTGAACAATTAAATGTAAAAAAGCACACTCCTCTTTGCCTCTTTTTTTTTTTTTGCAGACAGCAACTCAAAATTCAAGTTCCATAAATCAGCAGCTGGCAAAATTAATCAGGCTCATAAATCACCAAAAAAAAATCGCAAATACCTGAAGGAATTGACGAGCGGTGTCGACGGTTTGGCCGACGGCAATTTCCAGGAAGGAAGAAACCATGTTCTGCTGGTCAATAGAAGATGAAAAGCCCTCCATTGACATGATTCTGTTCTCGCCGCAGCCACCGATTTATCGGCCGAATCTATTTTGGGGGTTTTCAGATTTTGTGCGGTGGGTTTTGGTGGGGGTAGTGTGTCTATATTGCCATTGATGAGGAGAACGAAAGGTTAAAAACGCAAAGGTGAGAATTTTAAGAGTTGCTTTTTTCTGATTATTATTATTATTATTATTATTATTATTATTATTATTATTAATATTATTATTATTATTATTATTATTATTATTATTATTATTATTATTATTATTAATTAATTAATTAATTATTAATATTTGAGAAAATTAGTGAAAAAATCTCTTAGGAGGAGTCGATGATCTAATTTTAGGTAAGGGCCCTACAATTATTTTGATTTTCATTAAACTCCTCAATTTTTCTTTTTTATTATTTTAGTTAAATACAAATTTCATCCTCAAGTTTGCACCGATTTCACATTTGGTCCCCATGTTCGTAAAAAACACATTTGGTCCCTCATGTTTCAAAATTCAACACTTTTAGTCATTTAGGTCAGTTTTTAGTTAGTAATCACGGGATCAAGCATGTGTCCAATATTGTCTTAACTGACGGCCAATGGTAAAATTGATGGAAATGACCAAAAATGTTAAATTACTAAAATATGAGGTACCAAATGTGTTTTTCGTGAACATGAGGGACCAAATGTAAAATAGGTACAAACTTGAGGGATGACAACTGCAATTTTTTTCCTTATAAAAATATGACAAATCATTCACAACCTCCTCATCAATTATTTAAGACCATTTCAATACTAACAATTATTTTCCAATCATCGGCCATGAATATCAAGTTCATTATGGAATTTAAAAATAAAACAATTAACTCTAGACAATAAAAAAAAACACAAAGATGACGATGAGACTTTAAACATTCATAATAAATTGTATTTTAAAAAAATGTTTTCTTTTTACACAACACTCATTTGTTAAAATTCCTATAGCAAAATAGGAACTTATTTGAATTCAGTAGTTCCCACTCGAGTGCTAACAATGACTACAAAATAGAGAACCAAAAAAAAAAGATCTTGTAAATGGATATTTGACTATATCGGAGTCGGACGATTTTTATTAACTTTATCGCGTATAATCTCACTTACTTAATAAAACATTTGAGCTCAATATATTATATTATATTTTATTTTCTTTTAGAATTCGAAAAATATAAAAATTAATTAGTTCAATCTTCAAATAAATAAATTCATTAATTTTAACCTTAAATACTTTACAAGATTTGAAAATCTTTTCTTTCTTTTTTTTTGGACAACGATTTGAAAATCTTATTTTCATAACAATTCAGCAATTCACTTTTAAGACGGATTAAATAGTTGTCGTAATTAAGTGGTGTCTATCCCCACCTAGTAATTTTTGAATTATTTCTATATTAGCACTTGAGCGACGAGTAATTGATAACATCAAAATCAAGATTAATTCCATTTATTTAGTATAAATAAATAATTGGGAGTGTAAAAATCATATACATGTAATATTGCCTCATTGGATTTTCACTAAATTTCTCTAAACTTTTTTAACTTATTTTTGTCAATTTTGCTTCATACACGTATATTTTAGGTTTTAGAAAAACAATTAATATTTTTTTGCCCATTTTGCCTCCCTTTCACAACCCTAATTTCACACCTGGGGACTCATTTCAAAGGTCTCACTCATCTATATATTGAATGTATTTGTACCTCTGACACTTCACAGCTCATCACGCACACAAGAGTAAGAGTCATAAAAAAATATTTTGCTACATTTGTGTGAATAAAAGAGAAAAGGGTGAAAAAGAACACACAGTTTGAATCAAAAGTAAAACTTGAAGAAATGGAGAGAGGAGAAAGCTCAAACATAGAACATAAGTACACCAGAAGAGCACGCGCATCTGGTAAAAATTGCACTCATTTTTCCTAATATTTTGTTTTTAAGACTAAATCTATATGAACAATGTGCATAGATTTGTGTTTTTTATGTTCACGTTTCTTATTTGTCGCATAAAAAGTACGTGTTAATTCGTTGGATTTGGGTTTTTGATAATCGATCTTTTATTAGCACATTTGTGCGATTAAGTTCGCAAATCTTTTTGATACTTCACAGATCTCCTTGCGTGAATTGGATAAAAGAACGATTTATTTTCTCGCTTCCGTATATCATTCATTCTATTCTAATTTCTTTTATATTTAACACGCAAAGTTTTTTTAATTTTTATGTTACTCTTTTAATTTTTTTTCACAAATCAATATTCTATTAGCGAATTTGGTGTGGTTAAAATTCATAATTTTTTTAATGCTTCATGGATCTTCTTGCGTGAATTGCATAAAAATATGATTTTTTTAATTTATTTATTTTTTTGTCGCTTTCGTGTAACTCATTCTATTTAGATTTTTTTTATGTTTAACATTTTTTTTTTTACTTTTTATAATATTTTTAATTTTCTTTGTTTAGCATATAACAAATGTTAATTAAAAAATAATAATTTTGTTCATGTAGTCATTGGATTTCAATTTTCCTTGTTTCATCTTAATTTCTTTTTATTTTTAAAATAATCCAATGCATTGTAATTAGTACTTTAATATAATTCAATCAACATTTTTTTCACAATTAAGAGCAATTCTTTATTTCATCACAAAACAAATGTGATCCCATACGGATCAAATCAGAAAAGGGTTCTAATTAATGTGGATAAAATTAGTTGTGATAAAAAAAAAGAAATTAATTCAATATAATCCTAATTTTTTTAGTCAATTCGATGAATATTTATTTCATATATGTATTATATAATTGTATTTCATTTATCGATAAATGGTAAATGTATATTAATCACATCATCAATATATGCATATATACAGTTGTTTTAAATAAAATAAAACATGAGTTTCAATATAAAATATAATAGAATATTACATTGTGTGAGAGATTAGTGCAATAAAAGTGAGTATTTTGTACTTGATTTTTACAACCACTCTATAATTTCTTCATGCTCTACTTTCTGTACGCGATGACGATAATAAAAGATGGTCATATATAAAACATGAACAACAATTAACAGAAAACTGGCTACTCAATTTTATACATGTTTTTTTTTTGAATAAGTTCGAATTTTTAAATTTATTTCACTTTTATAGTTTTGAAAAATATTATTTTTTCTTTATTGCATTGCATATGTCAATCCTATATCGCATCCCTATATATTATGTGATTATTACATTGTCTATGTGTATATATTTAATTATAAATTGAAATATATTATTTCAGGCATTGTCATTAGGGAAGGGGGCGCCCCCACTCCCACCGCCGCCACCAATGCTGTCAACATTCGGGCCGCCCCAATCAATGAGACGCTCGGAGAGGTAAACCAAGAGCAACAACAAGGCGTCAAAAGAGAGGCGGTCCAATACATGCCGACAACAAATATCACTCGCATCATGCGGTGCGTCCTCCCCGCCCACGTTAATATCGCCGACGATGCAAAAGAGGCCATCCAGGTGTGTGTCTCCGAGTTCATCAACTTTGTTACTGCTGAGGCAAACAACCGATGCCGCCGTGACTATCGAAAAACCGTCACGCCGGAGGACGTGCTGGCGGCAATGACGTCGCTGGGTTTTGGCGACTACATAGAGCCCCTCGTCATTTTCCTCAACAAACATCGAGCCCAGCAGGACCTCGAGAGCGGCTCCATGAATCAGTTGGGGCTGTTCGTCAGGCGCGACGACGATAATGGTGGCTTCGTTCACCATCAGCAGCCGCAAGATGCTCATATGGTGCAGTCGCCGCCACCACCGGCGGCGCCGACGATGGGGTATTATGTCCCCTTACCGCCGCTTGCTGCTGGCACAGTGGAAGACGGAGAAGAATTAGGTGGATCGACGACAGTCAACAATGCATATATGTCGTGCAATTATGGTCGTGGAGAAGGCTCCTCCGGCGGACCCGAGTTTGATCCATTTCATAAGTTTTAATTAATGCAAGTGTGTTGTGATTTAAATGCACTAAAACATCATAGACAAATTAAATACTATTTTCTATGACTACCTTTTTTATTTTATTTTATTATCATTTTTATGGATTGTTAGAGATTTTTCTTTGGATTCAATAATTTCATAGCTTGTTTGAAATTGATATTTTTCTAATATTCGTTGATTGCATTATAATTTATTTTCTTTTATGAATTGTATTTAAAAAAAATAATGCTTTCTTTTTACACAACACTCCTTTGTTAAAATTCCTATAGCAAAATACGAACTTATTTGAATTCAGTAGTTCCCACTCGAGTGCTAACAATGACCACAAAATAGAGAACCAAAAAAGAAATGATCTTGTAAATGGATATTTGACTATATCAGAGTCGGACGATTTTTATTAACTTTATCTCGTATAATCTGACTTACTTAATAAAGCATTTGACCTCAATATATTATATTATATTTTATTTTCTTTTAGAATTCGAAAAATATAAAAATTAATTAGTTCAACCTTCAAATAAATAAAGGCAATAATTTTAACCTTAAACACTTTACAAGATTTGAAAATCTTTTTTTTCTTTTTTTTGTTGGACAACGATTTTAAAATCCTATTATCATAACAATTCAGCAATTCACTATTAAGACGGATTAAATAGTTGTTGTAATTAAGTGGTGTCTATCCCCACCTAGTGAATTTTTGAATTATTTCTATATTAGCATTTGAGCGATGAGTAATTGATAACATCAAATCAAGGTTAATTCCATTTATTTAGTATAAATAAACAATCGAGAGTGTAAAAAATCATATATATGTAGTACAACCTCATAGGATTTTCACAAAATTTCTGCAAACTTTTTGAAATTATTTTTGTCAATTTTGCTTCATACACCTATATCTTAGGTTTTAGAAACAACAATTAATATTTTTTTTGCCCATTTTGCCTCTACCTTTCACAACCCTAATTTCACACCTGTGGACTCATTTCAAAGGTCTCACTTATCTATATATTGAATGTATTTGTGCCTCTGATACTTCACAGCTCATCACACACACAAGAGTAAGAGGCATATTTTTTTTTTTTTGCTACGTTTGTGTAAATAAAAGAGAAAAGGTGAAAAAAAATACACAGTTTGAATCAAAAGTAACACTTGAAGAAATGGAGAGAGGAGAAAGCTCAAACATAGAACATAAGTACACCAGAAGAGCACACGCATCTGGTAAAAATTGCACTAATTTTTCCTAATATTTTGTTTTTAAGACTAAATCTACATGAACAATGTGCATAGATTTGTGTTTTTTATGTTCACGTTTCTTATGTGTCGCATTAAAAAATACGTGTTAATTCGTTGGATTTTTTTTTTGATAATCGATCTTTTATTAGCACATTTGTGCGATTTAAGTTCAGAAATCTTTTTGATGCTTCACAGATCTCCTTGCGTGAATTGGATAAAAGAACGATTTTTTCTCCCTTCCGTCATTCATTCTGTTCTGATTTCTTTTATATTTGACAAACATAGTTTTTTTAATTTTATTGTTACTCTTTTAATTTTTGTTTTTTCACAAATCAGTATTCTATCGATTTGATGTGGTTCAAATTCATAATTTTTTTAATGCTTCATGGATCTCATGGATCTTCTTGCGTGAATTGCATAAAAATATGATTTTGTTTATTTATTTTATCGTTTTCGCGTAACTCATTCTATTTAGATTTCTTTTATGTTTAACATTTTTTTTATTATTTATAATATTTTTAATTTTTTTGTTTAGCATAGATCAAACGTTAATTAAAAAAAATTAATTTTGTTCATATAGTCATTGGATTTCAATTTTCCTTATTTCATCTTAATTTCTTTTTATTTTTTTAAATAATCCAATGCATTGTAATTAGTACTTTAATATAATTCAATTAACACTTTTTCACAATTAAGAGCAATTCTTTACTGGCTTAATTCCACTTTGCACCCTCGAAATACACCATTTTGGCACTTTGCACCCCCGAAAACATTTTTTGGCACTTTGCACCCTCGAAACACATTTAATCGTTCAAAATGCACCCCGCTCTATTTTCCGGCCATATTTTCCGGCGTTGACTAATTTTTTGATTGTCAACGGGGGTATTTTTGTCTCTTCACGTGATGATCATGTGATTAATGGCAAAATTGATTTGTGTACAATAAAATAAAAAGTGAAAAAAAAAAAACATAAAACCCACTAACCTAAACCACTCTTCACGAAGTACATTTAGGGTTCCCAATTCTCTATTTTGCCGTCGATAACAAAATAACAATTGCTTTGGTGTTTATTCATAAAGTGCAATTCTTTGGTCAATTATACAACTTTGTGAGCAAAATGGTTTGGATGCTCAGAGAAGAAAAGTTTGGCAATCCCTTCTATGGTAATTTTTTCAGAATTGCTCGACTTTGAGTTCAACAGCTTTAATATTTATTTATTCTCTCTTCTTGACCCAATATTCTATATTTTATGTTTTTATGTATATATTTCATGAGATTTGTCGGGACCGTACAATACATATTGTCTTATATGTTAAACATAAATAATGAGCAGAGCATTTGCATTATTTATTGTTTTTTTTCGTGAATAGCACAATACTGTCATATTTAATATATTTTTTTATTTTGTCAAATGTAGATTATGAAACAAATATGTTTACCATAAAGATGCACCATTCTGGTGTTATTTCAAAGTGCAGTAGTGGTAAATCCTATGTTGGTGGTAGAGAAGACTATTTTGACTTTTGTGAACCTGGTGTTATGACAGTAGATGCATTACACGCCATGGCTAGGGTGATTGGTGAGACTAACTTGTTGAAGTTTTATTGTAGCAGAAAAGGTCACAGTGATTTTCTCCTTTTGGACAGTGATGGTGATGTTCAAAATTTAGTGAGGTTTATGGATGAAAATAGAGTTGTGAGTGTGCTTATTGAGAATGTTGATCCAATATCAACTGTGGAGAGTCAAGCTGCTACTAACTATTTTTTATTCGATGACCAAGCTAGTGAACAAGATGTGGAATTGACTGAAGATTTTATAACAAATGTTGAAGAAAGTGACAGGGGTGCTCATGAATCTAGTGTATTAGTGTATTCACTAATACACTAATAAAATCTGTCTTTGTTTGTAACAGGACACAAATTCAGGACCATCTAAATCTACTGTGACAGGTCTTTAGGCTGAACAAGTTGGATTTTATATTCTAATAGTATTGCCATTTTATTTTTCATGTTAGAACTATATATATGAATTTAGTATTGCGGTTATGATCTACTTTGAATTTTCAAACTTTATATGCTTTTGATTTTGACTTATTGGATATTGCTATTGCTATTGCATTATGCAATTATTTTGATCTAAGAATATTCTGGTTCAGATTTTCATTTTTTTATTATATTTTTTTTTTCTGATTCAGGTACTGTTCTGGTTACAATTCTTTTTTTTTTTTTTTATGAATTTGATGTAGTTAATGGTTACTATGGAACAATACAAATTTAAAACTAAGTAAAAGTCCGTTTAAATTTATTTTCTAATTTAACAGCTTAAAAGATATTAGACTTTGTTTATTATGGCAAAAAAGCTGATAAAGAAAACAAACGCAAGCTAATGAATAAAATTAGTTAATATGATTAAAATACATTTTTTTTCATTTTGCACCCTCGAAAAAATATTTTTGACACTTTGCACCCTTGAAAATACATTAGCACTTTGCACCCTAAAGAAAAATTCGGTGAAGAGACAAAAATACCCCTATTGACAATCAAAAAATTAGTCAACGCCGGAAAATATGGCCGGAAAATAGAGCGGGGTGCATTTTGAACGATTAAATGTGTTTCGAGGGTGCAAAGTGCCAAAAAATGTTTTCGGGGGTGCAAAGTGCCAAAATGGTGTATTTCGAGGGTGCAAAGTGGAATTAAGCCATTCTTTACTTCATCACAAAACAAATGTGATCCCATACGGATCAAATCAGAAAGGGTTCTAATTAATGTGGATAAAATTGGTTGTGATAAAAAAAAGGAAATTAATTCAATATAATCCTCAGTTTTTTAGTCAATTCGATGAATATTTATTTCATATATGTATTATATAATTGTATTTCATTTATCGATAAATGGTGTTTGTATATTAATCACATCATCAATATTTTCATATATACAGTTGTTTTAAATAAAATAAAACATGAATTGCAATATACAATATAATAGAATATTACAGTGTGTGAGAGATTAGTGCAATAAAAATGAGTTTTTTTTGTACTTGATTTTTACATAATATGTTTGTGTTAGTTATTGGATAAAAATCCAACCACTTTATAATTTCTTCACACCAATATGCTCTACTTTATGTACGCGATGACGATAATAAAAGATGGTCATATATAAAGCACGAACAACAATTAACAGAAAACTGGCTACTCAATTTTATACATGTTTTTTTTGAATAAGTTCTAGTTTTTAAATTTATTTCACTCTTATAGTTTTGAAAAAGATTACTTTTTCTTTATTGCATTGCATATGTCGATCCTATATCGCATATATTTTATTTTGTAAATTTAAAAAATATTATTTCAGGCATTGTCATTAGGGAAGGGGGCGCCCCCATCCTCGCCGCCCCAATCAATGACATGCTCGAAGAGGTAAACCAAGAGCAACAACAAGGCGTCAAAAGAGAGGCGAACCAATACATGCCGACAACAAATATCACTCGCATCATGCGGTGCGTCCTCCCCGTCCACGTTAATATCGCCGACGATGCAAAGGAGGCCATCCAGGTGTGCGTCTCCGAGTTCATCAACTTCATTACTGCTGAGGCGAACAACCGATGCCACCGTGACTATCGAAAAACCGTCACGCCGGAGGACGTGCTGGCGGCAATGACGTCGCTGGGTTTCGGCGACTACATAGAGCCCCTCATCATTTTCCTCAACAAACATCGAGCCCAGCAGGACCTCGAGAGCGGCTCCATGAATCAGTTGGGGCGGTTCGTTTGGCGTGACGACGATACTGGTGGCTTCGTTCACCATCAGCAGTCGCAAGGTGCTCATATGGCGCGGTCGCCGCCACCACCAGCACCACCGACGGCGCCGACGATGGGGTATTATGTCCCCTTACCGCCGCCTGCTGCTGGCACAGTGGAAGACGAGGAAGAATTAGGTGAATCGACGACTGTCAACAATGCATATATGTCGTGCAATTATGGTCGTGGAGAAGGCTCCTTTGACGGACCCGAGTTTGATGAATTTCAGAAGTTTTAATTCATGCAAGTGTATTGTGATTTAAATGCACTAAAACATTATAGACAAATTAAATACTATTTTCTATGACTACCTTTTTATTTTATTTTATTATCATTTTCATGGATAATTAGAGATTTTTCGTTGGATTCAAGAATTTCATAGCTTGTTTGAAATTGATATTTTCTAATATTCGTTGATTGCATTATAATTTGTTTTCTTTTATAAAAACATGAGTATATAATAGAGTCGATATCGTGAACGATATAATTGTTATAAAAATGATATAACTCAACAATCAGCATATGTATTGATCGTCCGTAAATATCGCTCCATATCGCGATGTAACATGATTTTTTAATATTTTTGGGGGTTATTTGTGCAATTTTATCATATTTTGGGATGATTTTGTTCACATTTTGGGTGATTTATGTGATTTTCATCACATCTTTATTTATGATAATTATGTTTTTTTGTTAACACAACAAAGCCAAAGTAAATAGTTTCGGTAAATTATAAGATTGTCCCAGTCAAAACCAACAAATTTGTTCAATTTCATATAATCATAAATAATTTATATCAACAATTTCTAATAATTATGATTTTTATCTGATTTAATAATTTAGTTACTATTGAAATTTGAATGTAGATCAATTTCGAATGAGTGGCTTGACTTCAAATTATAAAATTTTACAATTTTGTTGCATTTAATTTATTCTATATCTAATCAAACAACAACAGTTTCTTTTTAGCCAACTTTAGAACAATGATTGATGAATGACATGTTTCCAAATACAAATATTATCCATAAAATAAAATAAAGAATCTAATGCAGGAAGAGAGTGGATGACATGTTTCCAAATATAAAAAAATGTATTAAATTCACTTTCATCGCACCAACTACATTATTTTATTTAGTTTTTTTGATAAAAAAATATTGCACCAATTTATTTATTTATTTTGCTCTCTTTTGTAAAATTAAAAAACTTAGATGAAAAATGGTTATCAACTTAATATACACATACATGATAGTTTGAATATATAAAACATTATTAGTGTAATTATGATGATTTTTGAATCCATTCAACTAAATTATATTTGTGTGGAGCCATACTTGTTCTGATTAGAATTGGAGATCGCTATCGGATTATAAAAAAAATAAAATCAAAATTTTTGGAAGTAAAAATTAATAGTAATTCATGTTACACAAGAAAATGAAAAAATAAAATAAAATTCGGAGTTTCGGATATATGAATAGAAACACTTGTTGCAAAGTAAAACAAATTCGCTACGTAATCGACGAAATTCGAAAGGTAGCAGAACATTCATGAGTTAATTAATAGTGATATCACAAGTCTAATTTTTAGAAAATAATTGGATATTTTGAAATTAAAATCGAACAAAAAATCAGTCTTTCGTCTATATTCCGATTCCGAGCCACAAAAAAATGGTAACAAAAAAGTGTAAATCGGAACTTTTCAAATTCAAAATGGAAAATATTCTTCGAAAAATCCGAAAATTTTCAGATTGGCAACGTGGAACTCGAAAATTCGGTAACAATTTCCTCTTTCGACTCGTGACATTTTTCTTAACTGGGTTCTGTAAAAGTTAGGTATATAAATATTTTACATGGTTTAAAAAATAATAATTAATGACATACTTAATTATTTGCGAAATAAATAATTGTTTATTATTTATTTAGAAATAATGATTTTTGCAAAAAAAAAAAAAAAAAAAAAAAAAAGAACCGAACACCCTCTAAATACGTTTGATCCACCTTTTCAAACTTCAAATCCCCAAAACCAAAATTTTTCACCAGCAGTCCCTCACAGCACCAGAATTCAAAAATTGACTGCAGAGATCTTCGAATTCGAAGCTCCGAAGTTATCATCCAGAGTAATTTTGGAAGCTGGGATCTGGAAAAGAATCCATCTTCGTCGTCTTCCTCCAATCTCTCTCTCTCTCTCTCTCTCTCAACAGAAATACTGTTTGAATTTTCTTGCAGTGGAGGGGTACATTGTGTATCCGTGGTAACCCTTCTGCTTGCAGCCCTTCAAGTGTTGTTTTTCCCATTTACGCTCCGGATATTTGTTCCCAAGAAACGAGGAAGAGGAATCTGAGAAACTGGTTCAGTCATTTCGTCGAACATGACGTGAGCGGTCGTTATTTGCTAGGCATTTGTAGGAATGTGAATGTGGCTGACGGGTTTTGTTTGCTTGGGATCTGCTGCACTTGTCTACAATTGTTT